ACCTGTAGTTCCAGATACTCGGGAGGCTGAAACGGGAGGCTCGCTTGAGCCTGGGAGGTCGAGACTGCAGTGAGCTGTGATTGTGTCACTGCACTCCAGCCTGGGCGACAGAGCAAGACCCTGCTACCCACCTCCCCCAGAAAACCAAGAAAGACCAATGTGGAGAGTTGGTCGCCCATCTGCTCCAAGCTGCTGTGTATTCCCCGTAATGTAAACATCGTGAATATGGAGACCCAGTTAACCTTTTAGGTGGAGGGCCAGATGATGGAGGGCGACATGTGACCCGGAAGGCATTCTGCAACCAGGCCTAACACATCTACAGGGAACCAGTGGGAAACATCTGGGGAGGACAACCCAAATAAGTATCTTGCGAGCAAGGGATAGTTTGAGAACTTTAAAAATCACTGTTGTTTTGCACATATGAAGTTGATGGGGGAGGAAGGACCCTTAAATGCTGAGAGGGCACTGAGTATTCCAAGCAACTGGAGAGAGGTTGTGTGCCTCAACAGGTTTTCAACGCCAAGGAGATGACCCATCTTTCGAAGTGCATGCCTTCCTACTTTTGGTGCAAAAAACAAAAATCTGGAAAGCTTAGAGGAAGCTAAGGACAGGATTTCCCTCATTTTTTGTGGCAGTGCCTCAGGTGACAATGATAAACCACTGTTGCTTTACGAAGGCTCTAATCCCCCACTTGTCTTTTAGAAACAGATAAACACCTTCCTGTTTTCTTGTGATCACACCCAGAATCACCAGTGCCACTTTTTGGATTGGTTTCGTTATTGTTCAAGTCCAAAGTCATTTAACAGAAATAAAATCTGGAAATCAGAATGTTGCTAGTTGTGGACAGAGGTCCCAATCACCCAGCCTCATTATTCTTTGTTCTTTCTAATGTTGATATTGTGTTTATCCCTCAGGGAGCCCTAGCTTTCTTCAGCCCTTGGGTCAGGGTATAACTGAAGCATTTGGGAGGTATTACACCAAGCATATGTTTGACCGCTTTGCTGACTGTATTGAAAAAAACCCTCACCTTACTCTGAAAGAAACATGACAACAGTACAATATTGCTGATGCTTTAGTAGTGATAAAAGAGGTGATGGGTGATATAAAATCAGCCACTCTTAAGCTTGCTGGAAAGTTCAGGAGGATGTGTGAATGATTATGCATGTTTCCCTAGAGCTAATGAAGTTAAAAAAAATCTTAGTGTCTGCAAAACAGATGAGTTTAAGATTCATTGATATCAGGAAAGTAAAATTAATGAGCTACTCAAGTTTCATTGTTTGGTCATAACTGAGAGTCTATGTCCATAGGAAAAAGTATTTGCAGACAGAGGAAATTTAATGCTGTCTGATGCAGACCTCACTGATACTATAATTGATATGGATCCTTTCCTCGATCGAAGCGTGGCTTTTAAAAGAGATTTCAATAAATTGCGTATACTTATAAAGAGATGTAAAAGAACCTTCAAAATAAAGCAAAGGACTTGAAGAAAGAGAAGGAAGACATGATGAAAAGGATGTCATTTAGGTGAAGGTGATGGATACAGAATCTGAGTCTGAGGGGAAATTTGACTCTGAATCAGGATCCGATAAGGAGCAGGAGAAGATGGAGGATAAGAAGCTGCCAGAAGAAATGTGTGGACCCTCCAGCATGGCACTCAGAGTCATGATATGTCTGAAGAAACTGTCCAAGCCATTAACACGAAATTGAACCTTTGGAATGTAACCTTGGAAGTGAATCTGGAGAGAGTATAGGTACCTGAATTGAAGGACAAAGAGGTTCCAGAGGCCATCCTTCCCTTGTTACCCCAATGTCATTTTCATCACTACCATCGTCCTTTTTTCATCACAGCCACACATCTGTATCATTTAATCATTTAACAAACATCGAGCTTAAACTCTGCAGGGCTCTGAGCTAAACTTGGGGACATTGGCTCAGGAAATCATCTCAGAATCTGAGGTAAATGGTCATTAACAGTTCCATTCTTATTAATATAATAGGTATAAAAGGTCATGGTCTTGATTTTAGTGACTTAAAATATAAAGGTTTTTCTTAGGACCACTCAGCCTCATTTTCTCTAACCATATTTCTTCTATAGATAGTAAGTTCCCCAATCACAAATGGCGGTTTTCTGAGTTTACCTTGGTAGTTGACAAGAGGCTACTTGCTCTTGAATAACATGGCCTTACATTTTATAAGCACTTTTTTTTTTTTTTTTTTTTTTTTTTTTTTTTTTTTTTTTTTTTAGGTGGAGTCTTGCTCTGTTGCCCGGGCTGGAGTGCAATGGTGTGGTCTCAGCTCACTGCAACCTCCGCCTCTTGAGTTCAAGCGATTCTCCTATCTCAGCCTCTTGAATAGCTGGGATTACAGGCATGTGCCACCACACCTGGCTAATGTTTGTCTTTTCAGTAGAGATGGGGTTTCACCATGTTGGCTAGGCTGGTCTCGAACTCCTGACGTCAAGTGATCTGCCCACCTCACCCTCCCAAAGTGCTGGGATTATAGGCGTGAGCCACGGCGCCTGGCCATATTTTATAAGCACTCTTAACATTAATCTCTGTTAATTCTCACTTCAGACCTATGAAGGGGATATTAGACCTTCCTTTATGAGAAAAATCTCCCCTGAAAGCACACAGAAATTAAGTAACTGCCTTGAATCTGCACAACTAACAATATAAATGAAAGGAATAGGTCTACAACTGATTAACTATGGTATTTTGTCAGACACTTTCCTGAAAAGTGTGTTAGGCCTTTAAGAATTTATAATCCCAGGGAATGAAACAGATAGGTGAACAGGTAATTACAATAAATGCAGGGACTGTCAGCTAGCAATCTGCAAGCCAGATTTGATTAACAGATATGTTTTGTTTGGTCTGTCTAGTCAAAAACAATTTTGAACTGCCTTCCACCATTTTGCCCTCTCTGTTTTAAGGTACTATTTACATACGATAAAATTTGCCAACTTAAATGTACTGCTTATTGAATTTTTAAAACACTTGGTATTACTCCTGCCACAACTAAAACATAGAACAATTCTCTTAAACAGTTTACTTATACTTCTCTGCTCTCTATCGCCATCCCCAGAATTGTCATCATTTTTAAAATGAGGATACTTCACATTAAAAAGCTGGATTAAAAATTTGTTAATTCTGACAACAGTGGAGCCTGTGTTCAGAAGGGCAACAGTCAGCCATTAGCTTGCCACTTTTCTTGTTAGTGCTCCCCATAGTTTGTTACATGCTACCACAAAAGTGTGTGCAGTCCAGGTGTGGTGGCTCACACCTGTAATCCCAGCCCTTTGGGAGGTGGAGGCGGGTGGATCACAAGGTTAGGAGTTTGAGACCAGCCTGGCCAATATGGTGAAATCCCATCTCTATTAAAAATACAGAAATTAGCCGGGCGTGGTGGCGTGCGCCTGTAGTCCCAGCTACTTGGGAGGCTGGGGTAGGAGAATTGCTTGAACCGGGGAGGCAGAGGTTGCAGTGAGCTGAGATTTTGCCACTGCACTCCAGCCTGGGTGACAGAGCAAGACTCCATCTCAAAAAAAATGTGTGCAAAGTGCCTTAGGGGCAGAGGACTGTGGGAGAATCTTTGGGATGGCCAGGAAAGAGTTCACTAAGGAGACAGGTAGGGAACAAGAGTGTTCTAAGCGAAGGAGAATTAGAACGGAGATTCTGGGAGGAAGGGGCCAGAGAGGCAGCCATGTGCATGCTTCTCTTGTTTTTGTTGGTGGGTTGGGCCTCTCTAAAGTGGAAGAATTTTGTGTATGTGCGTTAGTGTTTGTGTGCTGTAGATTCTGAAGGTTTTGTGTTCTAAGAGTTTATGTCTTTGTATTTGGATGTCTTTGGGGATTTTATGGTTTTTTAAAAATTGTTTGAATGGAAAGCGAAATAGTGTGTTTTTGCAGGTGTTGTAGGTCTGGTATGGTGCTTGTGTTGTTTCAAGGGTGAAGGGTGTCCAGTGGAAATTCCTCCCTCTCTTTGCTGCTCCCTCCACTGTCTCTCTCCTGGTCTCCTTCTGGCAAGCTTGGCAGACTGGGCCAGGGAGAAGCCAGGGCAGTTGGTGGGTGAGAGGTCAGTTTAGGCCCTCAGTGCCCACCCACTAGCAGCTCTGCCCATGGCTGCGATTCACTGCCATGGTGCGGCTATTCACTGCCATGGTTACCTGTGATGCTATAGACAGGCTGGGCTCATGGTATCCTCTGCCAAGCTGCCCATGGCTCTCTGTCTTCATCTGCCTCCTGGTGAGCGCCCTCTGCCAGCACACTACAAACTTCTTCATCCGTAAACTCCCAGCCTCAGGACTGAGGGGAATGGAAGGAAGGGAGAAGGCGGACAAATGTCTCTTTAAGGCTCCTGGGGATTTGCGCTGGAGGCAGCCAGGTAAGGGCAGTGAACAGTTTGGCTTCTGGAGGCACCACTTGGTGTCCTGCAGATTGTGGAGTGTTTTCTAGGTTTACTGGGAAACCGTCACTCCCGGCATCTTGGGAGGAGTGACTGGGCTGTGTCTTACTAGATGGAGGAGGGGAAGAGGTATCTGCTGGTGAATCCTCATCCAGGCATCACACAATAGGTCTATTGTAGTTACCATCTCATTTTTCTGTAATTTTCTGGGGGCTTTGTTTTCTCATCTTGGAAATATCTCGAAGCGTTAAGGTTGGATGTGACTACAGAGTAACTCCAGGTGGTGGAGGGGGGCAGGAAGAACTGTAGGCGAGGGTCAGAAGCCCAGGGTTCTAGCTCAGCTTTGCTGCTCACCTTTTGGGTGATTTCTTCCCTTCTTTGGCCTTTATTTCCTCATCTGTAAAAATTGGCACCAACCAGTGGACCTTAACTTTTTGGGGATCTTAGGTCTCCCTGAGTAGTTTTGTGGAAGTTGTGGATTTGCATCTGAGGAAAATGTATAGATAAACTGAAAGTTGCACTCAATTTCAGGGGATTTTCGATTACTTAAAACTAGGGTTTTAAGTTTGTTTACAAGGCTCCATTTTCTTCAGTACTGCACATAGTACCTGGTACGTGTACAAATGAATGCAGGTGAAATTACTTCCTAAAACATCAATAGGTGTAATAGTTTATCTTCATAATAATCTCCACAGGATGATGGCAGGTCAGTGGATGCCAGTTGATATTACCTCTAGTAGCAGTTTTGTGCAGTAAAAATGGATTCCAAGACATCCAGACTTGTCCTTATCCTGGCTTCACCAATTAAAGCTATGTGATGTTGAGCAAGTTTCTTGATTTCTGGGCCTCTATTTTTTTTCTTCATCTGTGAAATGCAGGGGAAAATATCTAGATATGAAAATGGTCTAAACACTAAAGCTTAATGCAGATCTCAGGGATTAATTTGTGGAAGGGGATGGGGATTTTAAAAATGACCCCAGGCTTGTTTCCAATCTGCTTGAGCTGGGAGGCATTGAATTGGTAATGTCACTGATCCGTGCTTTTATTTTTCCCTCATATAGATCCTGGCAGCTTCTTTTCTGACACACCACATGCTCATGTTCAAGGCCCTTATCGTGCAGCTCCACTCACCTGTGACCTGCAGCTTTGTCTTTGGCACTTACTGCATCATCTCTGTCAACTGTTCCTATGAGAAAATTGCCAGAGACATTGTCAGGTATGGTGAAAGGGCTTAGGTGTGGCCCCAGGAGGCTCAAGAAGCTACGGGATGCTCCAGAGGGACCACTATTGTGCCCCTCTCTTGCTTCTGACAACACTGTCCATCCAATGATGAACTGTGATTTATTAAGCATGTTATGGGAACTTTAAAATACCTCATTCAGCAGAAAGGAGGCAGAGGATTATAATCCCCATTCGACAGACAGGATACTGAGGCCCAAGTCCTCATGTTTCTTCAGTCTGGAAAGTGAAGAGAACTTGCACTGTGTGACAAGGGCCAGGCGAAAGAAACAGGAGAGGAGAGATTCCTGTAGACCTGGGTTGTCAGGGAAGATCCCTTGGAAAAGGTCAGTGGTTGAATTGTGCCTTGAGGGATAGAGAGACTTTTTTTTTGGAAGCAAGAATAGGGAGGCTTCTGACTGATCAGCTGGAGTAGGTGGAATCTTCTAGGTGGGCAAGAGAATACAGAGATATTGGGGGGGGGGGTTTGTTTTGGGAAGAGATATGCATGGCACAATAAAAATAGTTGGCATTTAATGAAGGCATACAGTGCCACCTGGTATACTGGGTAAGTGCTTGTGTACCTTGTGTTAGTAAATCCCCAGCAGTCCAGTCATGTAGGGCCTTTTTGTTATTTGCTGTTTTACAGGAGCCTTTAAAGGAAACTAAGTGACTTGTCCATAGTCAGACAGTTAGTAGGGGCAACCTTAGAATTTGAGCCCATGTCTGTGAGACTCTAAAGCTATCTGGCCTAACTGATCACTTGTTGACAGATGGGAACATAAGTTGGAGAGTGATAGGCCATGGGCCTGGATAGGTGGGCTGCAGCAGGTTGCAGAGGGCCTCCAGTGAGACTGGCCAGTTGGGTTTTATCACGTGAGTTGATTCTAATCATAGTCACTCACAGAGCTTTACTTTCTCTCCAAAGGCTGTACATCCTTTTGAAATCTCAGAGGTCTTTAGTCTCCCTGTGGATCAAGGAGATGTGTCCTATTTAAAGTGGCTTGAGGAAAGCATGGAAGAGGACTGAGTGGGCGAAGCTTTTTGTGCATGCTGCTGGCTGCCTCCAGCCTTCATCAGCTGCACTCTGGGGAAGAGGGGGCCTCCTTCTACCTCCCAGCATCTCTGGATTCCATGTTCCTGTCAGCGCAGAGGGCCAGTCAGGCCAAGCAAGAACCCAGTGTAACTTGTCTCTGAGTGCTTCATGGTTAAGGGGGATCGGGGATATGAGGGCACGAGGATGGTTGTGTGGAGACTGAGGGCAAGAGGCAGTGAGGGTAAGACTTGTCATCTTCTTGAGTCACTAGGCCTACCTGAAATGCCTAGGATGTAATTGCTCTGCTGCTTCTCATGGGGAGGAGTGGCCCCAGTGACCTTGTTCACCTGGAAGAGTGTGGGATGAATGCCTCCTCCTAGGGGGACTGGCAAGTGCTTTATCAAAAAGATAAATTGCTAATGGTGCCAACTCATGGATCAGCAGGATTATTTCTCCTTGCTAAAGAGGCTTTTGTGGCTTCTGAATTCTGACGATGTGGGACTAGGAATGGGCTTCATGAGCTTGTGTATAATTCAGGGAATATTAGGACTTTGGCACAGCCTCATGGGTTGCGAGTAAGTCTTGGCTCTTCCCTAGTCGGAATGACAGACATCAGGTCATTCTGGTGCCTTGTCAGTGAAGACGTAGATTCTGAGCCCACCAAACTAACCTTTTCCCTTGAGCACAGAAGCAGCCCCAGTAATCAGACCCGTGTCTTTCAGGTTTGCTTCACAGAGCCCCAGAGGTTGACAAAAGGTACTTTGGAGGCTCCCTGCATGGGGATTTTTTAAAAAGCTTTGTTAAAGATTTGTAAACCACCCCTCTGAGCCAGTTTTCATTTTATAGATTACTGCAGGAAACTGAACTGCATGGAGGCCCAGAAAGGGGGTGGTGCAACCTGGGCTGCTCATCCTCTGTTTCATGCTCTCGTGTACCTGCTCCATGGGTTTGTGGCAGAAGAGGGCAGGGAAGGCAGTGGCCTGCCAAGCCCCATGGACTAAGAAGGGAAATTTGCCCCAGAAACCCCTCTGAATCTGTCATGAGGTAACTCCATTCTGTGGAGACCATGGGCAGTTTGGGTGGGGGTCTACAGATAGCTGTTATATCTTGGGTCCCTCCTTGAGGGGAGGGTGTGCAGGAAGGCTAACGCCAGGCTGTGGTTCTGACAATTACTGTACTTCTTGGATCTTTGTGCTCCCAAATATCAAATGGAAGATCTCTGAGAGTCCTTTGCAAAGATCTTGTAGGGACTTTAGGCTGAGGCCCTTGGAATGTTCCAGAGGGTTCCAATGGAGATTTTGAGGGACTGCCTCAGAAGAACAAAGAGAATGATAGTGGTGATGTCCCTTGCTTTTTACAACAGATCATGTTCTGATAGATATGCAAATCTGTGTAAAGTAAACCCTACCTAAATGTACTGGGGATCCAAGACATACTGCCTGTATTGCTTCCAGGAGAAAGTCCAATTTCTAGGTCTGGTTTTTATAACCTTGCTTCAGCTCACCTTTTCTGTCATCATCCCCTGCATCTCCTCTCCCACTTTGGGAAATGGATGGCTCCACTATACTGTGTGATGTTATTCCTGTGTTCCTGCTGTCTCCTCTGCCCGGAATGCCCTTCTGCCTGAATGCTTGTGAAATGTTGCTGCTCCTTTGTATGGCCTGGCTTCCGTGATTGGGAGGAATCTCTTCTGTTGTGGTATTTCTGTCATCTTTGTGCATCACAGTCGGCTTTATATTCCTAGGTTGTAAGCTGCTTGAGGATAGGGGCATGTCTGAATCTATTTAATCTGTCATACCTGTTTGGCAAATTGATGTCTTAAGTATTTAATTAACTAAAGCTCTCTCTACAGTACATAGTCACTTTTGATTTATGGAATTAGCAAATTCAACTTTTTTCCTTTAATATTCTTAAAGTGAGACTAATTCCAAAGGAGATTTTTCTGTCTGTGGCCTTCACTGGGTGGTTTTCTGTTATCAGAAAACTCCTGGTGGCCTTCCTCTTCCCTGGTGTCAAGTTGACTGTTGTAGGAAACGGGAGGGGAGAGGGCCATTTCTACCGGGCATTGTCCTCGGTTCCTTAACACTAATCCTTATAATGCATTGTTATCCTCATTTTACAGATGAAACCTGAGATCAGAGAGCATGAAACACATAAAGTATTTGGCAGAGCTAGGATGTGAACCCAACTCTGATTCTAAACCTAATGCTCTTACTTTTTCTCAGAGGTTCACTGAGTTCTTTGTAGGCCATAGATCCAGAGAAGCTGCTGCAGCCAACAGTAAAATTATTAGTTCTTAAAACATCTATGCGGTAAGTTGGTCTGGCACTTAAAAATGTATTGTTTACTACTCACCACAGATCTTCAGGAGTTCACTGATCTCTACGGTCTGCCTTAACTCCAACTTATGTGGTTTGGCCACTATTACATACTGTCATCCCAGAATGATGCTGCAGAGGCTGGGGCTAAGACCCAGTCCAGTGTTTCCATGTGGGAATTCCCTCCCAGTATTTCTTAGGAAATATATGTTTTTTGAATCCATAATCACTAGAAAAATCAGTTGAGGAAATGAGAAGTATTACAGTTATTCTGTGAATACTAACACCATTATAGAGACATTACTGGTTTGAAAGAATCCAGCTTCATCAAATATAACATACCGAGTTGAAGGCTACAAGAACAGAGACAGGAGCATAGCCGAGAGAAATGATCACCATCTAATTAGCCTTACTTTTGGTTGCTGTGATGTCACTAAGTGTGTATGTCTGGCCCTATTGGCTGCAAATGGTGAGTTCTTGTGAATAAAATGATTTGATAAACAACCTAGCATACTTGATACAAATCTTATGAATGGTGTTCCGAGAAATAAACTTTGGAAGCAAAATAAGTTAACAGTCTGGACACGATTGATTCTACATACTGTTTACCTTGCTCTAGGATATTCAAATGTTATATTTATTTGAATGCTATCCAATATACGTTCCCTGGCATCTTCCTTTTAAATATTCTCTATAAGCCACAGTTCTTTGTAAGTACAAATAAGCTTAATATATCTACTTAGAAAATAAAAGTTTTTCTAGATACCTATAATAATGAGGAAGAGTATAAAGAATGAAGTATTTTAAGAATAACTTACTATTTGGGGGATTTCTGAGAATTCTACTTCCTTGTCCCTAAATTCCAAAGATAAATGTTGTGAATTTGGAAATACTAGACTACAGAGAAGCAGGCACTCTCTAGCCTGGGAGGCCCACTGATCTCAGGAGGGTCCATGTAGCTGCTTACTGTAGACCTTGCATTAGAACCCAGGTCTTCTGACACCTGATGTCATGCACTTTTCATTCCATTCATTTCAGCCCAGAGAATAGCCACCACCACCCCCAGCTCCCACTGGAGTTTTATTCTGAGGACAGATAAAAGGTTGAAGCTGAAGGAGTGGCAGAAAGAAGTAGGAGCCACAGTGAATGAAGACGTTTAAGGGCAGACATTAATACCACTAAGCCCTTCACTCAGGATTACAGGCTACACTTTACCCTGAAACTTTAGAATTCAGTGGAATCCATGGCCTTTACCTCCCTATTAGATGACCTTTTTCCTATCCCTTCACATCTTCTGTTTTCTTTTTTTTCTCCAAATCACCCTTAATTTAGAGGTTTATTTTAAAGTAATAATCGGTGACACACAGGAAAGTCTCTTCCAACACCTGGGGAGCAGGTGTGCTGGGATTATTAATGGCATTTGAAGGGTGAAAAAAACTGAAGGAAAGGAATCTGACTAAAGTGGCACAGGTTAGAACTAGCAGTCAGGCCTAGAACTCATTTCTTATTTCTGGAGTTGTGTGATGATGTACTGATAGTTTTATTGTGCCTGGACTTAAGTATTATAATAGGGTAATAAGTTCATTTCTCATCTTTTACCTGTCAGTGGCCCTCAACTAATGTTTTTTGCCACCATAGGTTGGGTACTCACAAAAGATTCCATAGTGTCTCTGGCAGTAAGGGTGAGAAAGTTGCTGGCAGTGGTAGGAGTGGCAGGGTGGCCAGAGGACAGGGTCCTGCCATTCCTCCTTAACCTCCAATAAACCAACAGCAAAAGACAGAGCCAACTCCTTCTGCTACCCAGCAGCTAATTCACTACAGGGAAGACAGGTGATTGTTCAAAGGGAGCTTTTAAATCATAAATCAGACACACGAATTATAACTTTAACAAATGTTATTAAAAGCAGCAATTAAAAACCATGAATGTTTTTGAAGGTGCAGAGGGTTATAAGGTCAGTTGGCAGTAATGCAGCTATTATCTGGTATGAATGAAATGCTGGGGTGGGGAGTCAGGGTGACCTCATTAGGCCTTGTGCTGTCCTCCCAGGTGGTGAAGACACCCCCTCCCTGCTTTTCCCTCTCCAAGCCCAGAGCCTCTCTGGAGCCCAGGTAGGGAAGGTCCAGATGTACTGTAACAGGATTGCTCATCCCAGGCTGTCTCAGAAATCTGGAAAGCAGGCCTAGGAGGTTGCTGGGCTCTCTGAAACCAGGCAGGAAGCTACAGATTGGATCCCAGGTCCCACAGCACCACTGGGCTAGGGGCTGGCTTCTTAGCTCCCCTTCCACCTGGCCCCAGTTGGCCCCTGTGGCAGCAGCTGTGGGGCTGAGAAGGGGGAAGAACTGGGTCCAAGGCCAGCTCATCTATGCCTGGGCTGTGCCAGGGAAGCAGAGTAAAGTGGGTGGGCTGTGTGTAGGAGGTGAGGTCCCTCTTAAAAGGCACTGTGGGAGCTGAGGTCTAAGATGGGGGGCATCTAAACTATCTCAGGGACCCTCTGAATGCTCACAGGTAGAGGGGACAGGCCTAGTAATGGAGAACAGCTCTTGCAGGCCTGCTGCCCCACCAGTGCCTCTTGCTGTACTATCACCTTCGCCTTCCTGCTGGTGGCCCACAAAACCAGCCAAGCTGGAGGCCACAGCAGCAGTTGGCAAGGCTGGTCCCCATCTGGTGCCCACCCTCCACCTCAAGGCACTTTTGTCCATTTTCCAATCAAGTGAGTCAGTTTCTAATATCTCTGGAAGCAGCAAAACATGAGGGGTCCTCTTCCCCCTCCCAATTTTGGTTTCCCTCCAGATGAGGCAGAATTTGAATGCTAGTTCCAAAAATTCTCTTTCAAACCCCCACTGGCAAGGGCTTCTCTTTGAGGGAACTGGAATGATGCAGGCCCTTTAAAAATCACAACCTATCCAAAAAAGTGATTGTCCGTTTCAGGGAAGGGCAAGGGATATGAAAGAGGGTGAGTCCCCTATGCTTCCCTATGGGACCAAAGGTGGCTGACGGGCTAAAAGGGGCGGGAGCTGAGCTTTCACATTCCATATAGAGGGCCATGGGGAAGCCAAGGGTGGAGCCAGCCGGTCCAGAGGGACTCTGTGTACACCTGGGCATGTGGTGGTGTGGCTGTGTGTGTGCCTAGGGCAGAAAGTACAACACACATGGGTGGAAGTTTGTGGGAGTGGGTGTGTATTGTCTGCTGGGTGGTGTCTGGTGGGTCTGGGGATGGGAGGCACCAGAAACAGGTTTAGCATGACATGGTTTCCCTCCCACCACTACCACCCTCCACCCTGGTCCCCCAGGTTTTGAAGGATGCCTCCATTCCAACAAGGCCTGGCCCAGCTCTGTGGCGACTGAAGGGAGAGTGGGCAGGGAAGAGACGACTTCTGGAACCTCCAAAGCTGACACTGGCAGCCTTCACTCTCAGCCTTAATACCTGGGCCCTGGTGCTAGTGCCTTCTGAGGCAGACACAGCCCTTTACTCTTCAGATCTTTGCAGGCTTTCAAAGGGGCTTTCTCCCACCCCGCCACCTCTCTCCAAGGGCAGTGGGGAGTAGCCGGAAAGTGGAAGAGAAAAGCACTGAGCGGCATCCTCTTATCCATCTTCTCCTATGCTCTCTCAAAGGCACCTGTTATGTAGTCCCTGGAGGACTGGTTGCCCCATGAGTCAGGTGTGAAAGGTATCCAGTGGAGGGCCTGGATGTGCAAACACACCCAAAGGGGCGAGAGAGGTCAAGGCACACAACTGGGACAAAGACCTGGGCCTCAAGAGGAAGGGTCCCAGAGCAGGGGACACAAGGTCAGAGGAAGAGACAAACAGAGTCTGAGGGGGTGTGGAGCGTGTAGAGACACAGGCACAGGGGTGGTGAGCCTGAGGAGGCCCTGGGGCAGAGCTGGTACAGCAGAGAGACACAGGCCTTGGCTGGGCAGGCAGGCAGGCGGGCAGGGCCTTCTGCCAGGCACTTGCAGCTCTGTCCTGCTTCCTTCTCCCACCCTAGCCTGGAGAAAGCTGGGGAGCCTATGGCTTCTGCTGCCCCTCCTTTGGTTTTCAGGGCCCCCGGCACCCCCTGAGGGCTATTCAGTAAGGGGTGGTCCCTTCCCACTCCACCAGGTACTGAACCTTGCCCTCAGGTGTGACCCTTCGAGCCAACACCTGGTACTTTTCCCCACAGGCCAACCGCCCAGCCGCACCAAAGTAGTTGGTGATAGATGACTTGAGGTGGGACAGGGACGAGTCATCTTCACTGATGCTCTCAAATGTGTGGCTGTCAATGCCTTCGTCTGGCCGCTCAGGAACCGAAGCCCCCTCTGCACTGCTGTCCGAGGGGCAGCGTCCATCCAACTCAGCTGCCCACCGCTTTGCCCGCAGGGGCATGTATGCCTTGGCTGCCAGCTTCCTCTTTCTGCTGCCCACTGTCCATCTGTATCAGGAGCGGGAGAGGAAGATGATCAGGAGCGGGAGAGATAAATTCCTTTCCCTGAGCCCATTCCTAGTACCAGGCGCTGTGCTAGGCCTTAGGCATAGATTATCTCACTGAATCCTCATGAGAGTCCTGCAAGGAGGGAAACTGAGGATCCAGAGGAGAAAACCAGCTAGGGAGTGGCAGAGCCAGGATTCAAACCTAGGAATGTCCAACTCCTAAACACATGCTCTTGCAGCCAGGATCCCAGCACTGCACAAGTGTGAGAGCACCATTCACTGAGCCTCCTGAGGTCGTGCAGTGCAGAGGCCCTGCTTATTCTGCCTTGCCCCTGACCAGACTCATGGAGCTAGATAGGTCACATACGACTAGGGTTTAGGAACTGAAGGACCCTGTATCCCAGAGCCTGGATGCAGAAGTGTTAAGAGAAATGGACACACAGACACACACGATGAGGCATACATTCAGATGCTTAGAGACAGAAACCAAGACGTGAAGTGCTGGTGAAAGCCAAAGAAACAGGAAGAAATTGGCTGAGTGTGGTGGCGCATGCCTGTAGTTCCAGCTACTCAGGAGGCTGAGGGATGAGACTCACTTGAGCCTGGCAGGCGGAGGCTGCAGTGAGCTGAGATCATGCTACTGCACTGTAGTCTGGGCAGCAGAGCGAGACTGTCTCCGACCAACCAACATACAGGAAGAAATAAAAATACAGAGGCAACAGCAGAGGACACCTAAACAGATGTCAAGAGACACAGACTCTAAGACCTCTACAGGCATTATACCATTATGCTTTTTTTTTTTTTTTTTTTTTTTTTGTGCGATGGAGTCCCACTCTTTTCACCCAGGCTGGAGTGCAGTAATGCAATCTCAGCTCACTGCAACCTCCACCTCCCCAGTTCAAGTGATTCTCTTGCCTCAGCCTCCCGAGTAGCTAGGATTACAGTTATGTGCCACCATGTCTGGCTAATTTTTTGTATTTTTAGTAGAGATGGGGTTTTGCCATGCTGGCCAGGCTGGTCTCAAACTACTGACCTCAGGTGATCTGCCCACCTCAACCTTCCATACTGCTGGGATAACAGGTGTGACACCATGCCCAGCCAGGCATTATACTTTTAATTCTACTTTTGCAAGGGTGTCAAGTATCTCAAAATACAGTGCAGCCTGAGTGCAGAGGAAATCCCTTTGCTCTACCACTCCCCGTACTGCTGAGGACCAGCTGTTGACAGACCAGCAGTACTGAAGATAGGCCACCAGGGATTTCTGTTCCCACTCCTAAATCTTCCATCCTACAGGATGCCATCTTCCATCTTCCCTTCTGTCAGGCTTCTAAATAAATGGCTTTTTCCCTTAGAGACCACAGAAGACAGACACCAGATTATTCAGACAGCCAAGAATCAAAGTCAGGGAACCCTGCAGCCCAAGAGGCAAAGACATGCAAACTCATGGCATGCAGAGGCCAAAAGTGAAAGAACCTCTCGTCCAACAACCCAAGAACTGGAATCGCCCAGTGAGCGCTGTTGTACAACCTTCTGCAGCAGGTGAAGCATTCCAAAGGGAGGGAACCACAGGAGCCTGAATGCCTATACTTAAGTCCCCGTGACTCAGAACCAGAGGGTCTGAGAGCCAGACTCACAATTGCAGAAGGCCAGGTCCCCCCACCGGAGACTGGGACACACAGAATGAGCCACACATGACAGAAGTGGGAGGTGGAGGGGCTGGGAGGAATGATGGTCCTTGCAAAATGTGAAGGTCAGACCTCCAGGAAGCTCACCTGGAGTCATAGGAGAGGCTGGTGGAGGCAGAGCCAGAGGTGCTGGCAGCGTCGGTGGAGTCGACATCTGAGAAGAAGGTCTGGCCTGAGCTGGCACTGAGAGGGGCAAGACGGTGAGCCTGCCAACCTGGCCCGCAGGATCCCTTGGGACCTCTGCAGCCATCTCTCTGCCCCTAACATGCATCCTCCCTCCCAGTCGGTGCCCATCTTCCCACAGCTGAGCTTCCCCCCAGCACACCTGTCTGTTTCCTACCCATCCACCTTTCAAAGTCCAAGAAGTCAAGAAAAGCTCCCCAGAGCACCCTTCCCTGGCAGTGACATAAGCACTGGTGCTAGTAACTCCACGAGCATGATCGGAGGCAACTGTGCGTCACTTGATAGGTCAGAAATGCTTTCATTTGCATTATCTTGTTTGAGGAAAATAGCTGAGGAAGATAAGCAGGGTCTGGAGCTCAGGTCTGACTCTAAAGCCCTCCTCCATGTCCTCAGGAAAATACTAAATGACCTTTAATAATTTGGGAATGAAAATGATGGAAGATGCAGTTCCTCCTTTGGGAGTACTTAAACATAAGGACACTATGGAACTACAAAGGAGGGCGTCCAGCACAGCCTGGGGAGGGTGAGTGAAGCCTTCCTGGAAGAAGCGGGGCCCTGAGTTTTCAGATGGGCTAGGGCAGGGCAAAGGGTATTTCAGGCAGAGGGAACAACATAAGCCACAATGAGGAGGCATCAGACAGCATGGTGAGTGTGGATACCGTGGTTCGAGGCAGGGAGAAGCAGGAGGGGAGGGCTGGAGAAGTGGGGAGGGCTGTGGTGCTCTGGGAACAGGGGTGTTATGCTGAAAGCTCTGCTGCGGAAAGCCCCTTCAGGCAGACCTGTGCAGCAGGGATCCTTTTAACTGGGGTCTTGGCTTTCTGTTTGGTTCCCTCCCAGTCTCCAAAGCAGACCTCTCTAGTAGGTCCCACATTGATACCTTTTTAAACTTTGAATTTCATCCAGCGTGAAGTCAAATATGCTAGCCAGGTGGTGGTTGGTGCTCCAGGCTGAGGTGAAGTCACTCTGTGGACACAGGAAGGAGAGAGGAAGGGTCAGACGAGTATGAAATCTGCCTCCCACACAGGCTGCCTCCTGTCCAGCCAGGGCTGCTGAGGGCGGGGCCCTCCCTAGGGTAAGACCATCACCTTTATTCCAAGTCCTGACCAGGGAGCCAAGCTACCCCAGTTCTAGCACTGCCTTTGTCTCTAGCTGACTATACGACCTTCCCTTCTCTGGACCTCAGTTACTTCAACTGCAAAATGGGGACAATTTCCCCATTTTGTCTTGCTTCACTCTTAGAGACGTCAGGAAGCGCAGTACAATTAAATAATGCTTATAAAGCGCAAAGTGCTGGGAGATGAGGCATTATTAATATTACTGCCCACAGGGAGGGCTTCAGGGAGGAGGCAGGGTTACTGAAGGAGGAAAAAAAGTGATCTGGAATCCTGGTTCCAGGCTGGGCTCTGCCACTTTGATGTGTGGCTTTGGGGAAAGTCACTGCTCCACTCTTCCCTCAATGTCCCTACCTGGACAGTGGGGACACGACTATTACCTGCCCTTACCCCCCAATTTTGGGTTCTTGGGAGAACTTGAGGGGAGGTGACGCAGTGGTTTTGGAGTGCCTGACTTAGCTGTAATAGGGACTGGCTTCTCCTTTTAGGGTCATTAGAGTCCTCTGGGCCTGGGGGACCTAGTTTTCGGCACAGGAAGCCCTAATATGTGCTGACCCTGTGTGTGAAAATGGAGAGTAAGAAAACAAGGAACTAACACTGGGAATAGCATCTTCCAGCAAAAACTTTGATCTTTTTCTTCTATAAACTCGCCTTTTCTGCTGCTGGAATTCGTGAGGCAACAAACTGTGGAGACAGAAAAGGGAGAGGGTGGCCCCGTCAGAGCCTGAGGGCCCTAGGGTGGCCCAGAGGGAGGTGCCGCAGGGGCGGGGGTCACAGCAGTTGGGGAGACAGGCTCTGAACACAGCTGCACCTTCACAGGGAGGCCTGGGGAGGAGGGAGAGTCCTGGGACAGCAGGGGTGGGAGGGTGTGGAGTGGGTATAGCGGGTAGAAAAAGAAAAGGTGCCTCCCCAGGCACATGCATCCAGATGCCCTGCCCCCCAGTGCCAGGATAAGGGGGCTCAGCTGAGCCAGGAAAGTGAGGGACCCCTCAAACACTCTGCTTTCCCCTTCACCTCCTTGCCCAAGTCCTAATCCAGCAAGGCTGGGTCCTCGGATCTGGCTTTTCCTCCCTGTGAGGCAATGAGGGGGCTGTGGTGGTGAAAGCCGTTGGGGATCTGGGATCTGGGCTCCTGCTCAGCCACTACCTAGCCCTCTCAGGGTCCTACAGCTGGGACTTGCTGGGTGCAGGTCCTCCTTGCTTGCTTGGAAGCAGAGAAACCAGGTTTGGCTGTAGCCCTGGCCCCTGGGTCCCCGAGCACTGACCCAGGCTTGCTCTTTCCTCTCTTACGCAGCTCAGAGGAGGCGCTGTTCTCATTTGGCAGCAGTCCCTTGTCAGGCAGCAGTTTCCCTGGTGGGTTGGGTGGGACACGGATGCGCAGGCGGAAGATGCACTTCTTCTTCTTGATCTCCTTGCCGCAGAGGAACCTGGGGGGTGGGCAGAGGGAGGAGGAAGCTCTGGAGTCTGCCAGTCCATCCTCCTGGAGAGTGGGGTCAAGCATGACACAAGCTTCTCTGCTTCACTGGACCCAGAGCTAAAATCTGGATGTCCTCTGGAGGTGCTGATTTCCTCAAAGCCCATGGGATGTGGGGTTCCGGGTAGCAGCTGAGAACTCGGCTGGTGTCTCCTCCGTCCTTCCTCCTGCACGAGTGTGGTTCTCGCTGCTCTTGTCCCTTTTATTTGCCTAAACCAGCCCCAAGGCCATCTCCTGCAAGGCCTCCTCCAGCTCACAATGGAACTCCTACGGTCAAGACACGAACCTACTTCATTCTGTTCTCTGGTTTCAGACTGAAAGCAACACTGGCTGAGTTACCCTAAAGCTGCAGAAGTGACCCAGACACAGCTCTCCACTCTTTAGTACAAGAGGCCCCTTGCCCTCACAACGGAAGTAAAAGGAGGTGGGGATCTGGGATCTGTCCATTGGGAGGGCAGGGGGCCTCTTATACTCAAGAGCAGGGCTTTGTCTGGGCCCTAAACCAGGAGAATGTTGAAGAGAGAGTAGGTAATTCTGCCTAGAGGTGTCTGGAGGAGTTTCAGGGATGAGGACCTTGTTTTATTCCCCACCATGACCTCAGCACCCAGACAGGCCCAATGTAGAACAGTAACTCAATGAATACTTGTTGATGGAACAAATGAGTGAAAAAGACTGAAGCACATCCTAGACAAAGGGCAGAGCATAAGCAAAAGTTCCAGGTGGGAAACCAAGGGCTCAGGATGGCTGGCACCCAGAATACAGAAAGCAAAGAGACAGTGGCAGAGGACACGGGCACGGCCTGATCTTCAAAGGCCTTGAGTGCCAGGCTTAGGAGGCTGGGCATGCCTCTGTGGTGTGGTGAGAGACGTGGCTAGCTGTGTATGCTGAGAACCCTGGATGGGAAGACAGGGGAAGAGGGATGGGTCAGGAGGCTATAGCCCACTCAGGATCATGCACCCACCCCTCAGTGCCTGGCCCACAAGCCCCAGATATCTAGAGCAGGAGAGGCCCTCAGAGAGCAGGGGTACAGCCCCCCACTACAGAGCTGAGCCCAGTACCAAAATGTGGCAGACTGCTGGGGTGGTCAGAATGGCTGTGCAAAGAAGGTGGGATGTCCCCTGGATCTTGGAGAATAGAATGATTCAGAGAGAAGGGGAGGAGGACACAGGCAGGGAGCACAGCCTGAGCAAAGACTATGCGGTAAGAAGAAATCTCACCTGTAGAGGGCCCCACCACATACCCTCCCCTCCCTGCACGCACCGGCTTTTGTAACTGTTCAGAGCGTTGAGGAGGTGCGGTCCTCGATCTGTCACGGGGGTGCTGGTGAGCTGTGGGAGAGCAGGCCGGCAAGACATCAGACCCAGGCACATGGTGCGTGGGGAAGCCCCAGCCCCTACTCCCTCCCCTCCATCTCCTGATGCTTCTGAGTCCTCCAAGTGAGGACCACTGACTCACTCCAGGATCTCAGATATGCCTTTTCACCTCTCCAAGCTCATTCCCATCTGTAAATGGAGAGAATACTTCCTGACCTAACTATATCGAGAGGTTTAAAAAGTCCATACCCTTGACCCAGTAATGCTATTCCATGGAATCTATCAAGGAATCTACATATCTGCAGATATAACATGAAATATGAACAAAACTTTACATACAAAATGGTGGCATTGTTTCTAATGGTGGACAAGTGGGAAAGAAACTGCCCAACAGGAAGGAAACAAGTAAACTATGGCAGAAACCAATGCAGCTATTAAATTAGCTGGGCATGGTGGTGGGCACCTATAATCCCAGCTACTCGGGAGGCTGAGGCAGAAGAATCACTTGAACCCAGGGGATGGAGGTTGCAGTGAGCCAAAATGGCGCCACTTCACTCCAGCCTGGGCGAAAGAGCGAAACTCCATCTCAAAAAAAAAAAAAAAAAAGTTTATGAAGATTCTAGTAATATGGAAAAGTATAATGTATACTAAAAAAAGATTATTTAAAATTGTATATACTGTATCATTTAAACCATTAAAAAGAAAAAATATTCATAGAAGAGAGTTTGAAAGGAAATGCACCCATGCATTAGTTCGAGTGATTTCTGGGTGGTGTGATATGGGTCTTTTAAAAAGTATACTTCCTTATACTTTTTGGTACTTTAAAGATTTTCCACCAGGAATATGTACAATTAAAAAAAGGAATCAGAAGAAAAGTTGTTTAAAAATACCAGCTCTACCATAATCTTTTAAGGTTTTATAATATCTATTTAAAAAAATTATCAAATACTGTAAATGAAGATGTATTTTGCAAAGCATAATGGTTATTTTTTTAATAATTCCTTTTCATCAAAGAAGGATTTAGGGCACTCCGTAGAGAAGATGGCTCACTCTGCATGTGATGGAGAGGATTCTACGGATGTCTTTAGGGAAAAAAGGCACAGCACTCATGCGAGTGATTAGGGAGGCCCTGGCTCCAGCTCTGGCTCAGCCCCAAAGCTCTGCTGACCACAGGCAAGTCACTCTCCAGCTCTGACATCCTGAAAGTCTCTGTTACTTCAGTCCATGGATCTGAGGCTCCCAGGCCCCTGATGACCCACTATTCAGCATAGGATCAACATCGGGCAGACCCACTCCATGTTGCATCCCAGCCAGGAAATCTGGAGAGGGTCAAACACAGCAGAGAGCTGTGTTCCAGCCAGACTTGATCTAGGACCTCAGCTCCCCTCTACTGAGCTGGAGAGGCCCCAACCTGCCCACTGCCAAAAGCTGGGGTTAGGATGGCCCTTAAAGGACACAGGCTCAGAGGCCTGGACTCAGGGATGTAGCAACTCAAGGGTGAGAGCTCACAGACCTCCATCCTAGTACTGCACTGTGTGGCCCTGGGCAAACCTCTCTGCCTCCTGCCACTGACATGCCACAACCCCGCATACCTTGCCAAGCTGCAGGAGCTCCCAGTGGTGGTTGACAAAGGCCAGAATCTCCTCAAAGTCAAAGTACTTCTTCTTGCTCTGTACCCCCAGATTATAGAGGGCCAGGTGAACCACGTCCACCCTGGGCAAGGGGGCAAGGAGGTGGGGCCAGGTAAGGTGGCAGCCTGCTCAACCAAGGTCACAGCCTTCTGGGTCCAGGCTGAGACAGGGGCAGGGTTGGGACCCAATTGCTGGAAATGGAATTGTTCCAAGAGGGAAGACGGAGGGGAGAAGCTGGGAGGAGCAGGGGTGGGTCTGGACCAAGCCCCATCCTCTCACCATCGCAGGGGCAGCCTCTCGATGTACTCTGGGCCCTGGTTACACACGGAGCAGAAGAACAGGTAAAACCTGTGGGTGGGTAGAGAGGGGGGCCTATGGTGGGAGGGGCTCTGACACCCCCCTGTCCAGCTCCCTGATCCCCTCACTCCCCACCTGCCTTCCCATAATCTTTGCTACTGGCCACTGGAGGGCAAGGGCAGGGGAGGACAGGGACCACTCATAATCCTTCTAACTCCTACCCTGAATCTCCTTCCCGAATCTTGCCCTGAAGCATAACTGAGTTCACAGAGAGTGAGCTGAGCTAGGTTGGGCTCCTATGGTCATCTTCTTCCCCTCTGAGACAGACACACACATAAACAATCACAAATGACATGAGACACCAACCAAAAGATGCATAACATCTGGTTTGACATCCATAATGACTCCTTTAGCTTAGCTCCACTGGCCAGAAGCCACAGTAAGTTGTCCATTTCCCCAGTGGCTCCCACAACAACCCTGGGCAGGGCTGGTGCAAAGACTGTCATCCCTTCTTCCCCAGATACTTAAGTGACTGGGAAATAGGGAAGACAGGCATTTTTCTAAGATATTCCACAAATCAATGGCAAATAGGGATGTGGCCCAGCTTACTTCTTTTCTCTTTTCTTTTTTTTTTTTTTTCTGAGACAGAGTCTCACTCTGCTGCCAGGCTAGAGCGCAGTGACATGATCTCGGCTCCCTGCAACCTCCACCTCCTGGGTTCAAGCAATTCTCCTGCCTTAGCCTCTGGTGTAGCTGGGATTACAGGTGCACGCCTCCACACCCAGCTAATTTTTTTGTGTTTTTAGTAAAGACGGCTAACATCACTATGTTAGCCAGGATGGTCTTGATCTCTTGACCTCGTGATCTGCCTGCTTTGGCCTCCCAAAGTGCTGGGATTACAGGCTTGAGCCTCTACGACCAGCCAGCGTACTTCTTTATTGCCTCCTGGCCCTGCACAGCTGGGGGATCCCCTACCCTGAGCTGCCTCCAGTAAACAGGTAGGCATACATTGTCACAGCCCTCCTCTTATCTGGAGGCTGGCAGGAGTTGTTGCTGCCATCCCTGGTCCCTCCCCACCAGGCCCAGTTGGACCAAATTAGCACCTACCGGTCTCCAAACATCATGGGCTCATTGAGGCACTGGGTGCAGGCCTCATGGAACCACTGTCTGCATCGGTAACATTGCAGCATCCGCAGGTACCATCTGGAGAGACAGAGGAGCCAAGGTCACCCAGGACCACACTCCCAGCCAGGTATGGGCCTCAGCAACCTTTCCCAACTTAAATTTGCCCTCCACTGGCAGAAAGGGAAGAGAATTTATAGTTACAGAGCACTTAGGCTGTGCCAAGGGAGGACCTGGGAGTTGGACATATACTATCTTATTTGACCTCACCACCTGGTAAAAGATGGACCACTGTCCCCATATTACAGATGAGTCACAGGTGAAATGGCTTGCTCAAGCTCACTCAGAAGGCAGTGGAGGATGGTGATTCAAATTCTAGTCTCCCTAACCTCAAAAGCTGTTCTCTCCTTGCCACGCCACAATGGGGCCACCATTTCTGGACTTGCTGCTTCACACATGCTGCTGACGGGGAAATGTTTGCCTTTGAGACTTCATGGGAGAATATGGTTTCTGTAAGTTGCATAGGGGCAAGACTACATCTGGCTTTTCTGACCTGCAACTGTATCTGTCCTATGATGGTCATCCAACAAGTATTCATGGAATATGAGGAGCAAAATGCTCAATGCTTTCTTGACACCTTGTCAGGTGAGGTCCAGGTTAAAATGCAGATTCCTTGATCCACCACAGACCTATTCAATCTTTAGGAAAGCCTCTGGGATGCATTAACAGGCATCCTGTGCAACTCTGCCCATATGCATTGAGAAGCACTGCGTTTCTCCATCTGACAATACTTAGGGAAGCTGATGGACCTGAAGTTAAGCCCATTTGAGAGATGAAACAGTTCAACCACTGCCCAAATTACCCAGCTGGAGCTTGGGGCTGAGATTCGGGACTTCAGGAGGTCTTGACCGGTGAATTTACCAAGGGTAGAGACCCTACCTCTTACATCTGTGGTTCTTCCCATGATGCCAGGTGCACTCAGCCCAAGGGAGAAGGCTAAACTGCCACGGCTACACAGAGGTCCAGGTCGGCAAGGAAGAATCAAAGACTCTTGCCGCATATAAGAATTCCCTTCACAGTGTTCCCAACATAGCATGCCTCGCCCCCCGCCCCCACCCCTGCCTGATTGCACATCTCCAGGGAAAAGGATCTTTCTTTTCTTTCTTTTTTTTTTTTTT